CGATCTCACATCACAATGTCAGTCCTTTTGTTCCCCTCCACCCTTCACATAATATCTCTCTATCATCTTCTAACAGTCTCGTAGATCAAATCAGGAGACTTCTTGGGCAGGGCACTTTCGGTAAAGTTGTGGAAGCCCGGGATCGTAAGAGGAGTAAATTTGTTGCAATCAAAATTATTCGAGCAGTACAAAAATACCGGGACGCTTCGAGAATCGAGCTGCGAGTTCTCCAGACCCTGAAAGCTAACGATCAAGAAAACCGCAACCGATGTATTCATTTACGGGACTGCTTCGATTTTCGTGGTCACATCTGTATCGTCATGGATCTGCTGGGCTCGAGTGTTTTCGATTTTTTGAAAAGCAATAACTTTGTTCCTTTTCCTAACAGTCAAATACAGAGCTTTGCTCGCCAGTTACTAACGAGTGTCGCTTGTGAGTTATGGACTCTTAAACAGCCTATGCTCTTTTCGTGCTAACATCGCTACAGTTCTCCATGACCTCAACCTAATTCACACGGATCTCAAGCCGGAGAATATCCTGCTTTGCGATAGTGCCTATCAGACCTTCACCTACAACCGGCGGATACCGTCATCGACAAATGGGACAAACCGACAAGCTACACAACGCAAGGTTCTTCTTGATACGGAGATTCGTTTGATAGACTTCGGATCCGCCACTTTCGACGATGAATATCATTCGTCCGTCGTCTCCACACGCCACTATCGTGCCCCTGAGATCATACTTGGCCTAGGCTGGTCATTCCCGTGCGACATATGGAGTATTGGGTGTATTCTTGTTGAGTTCTTCACGGGGGATGCCCTCTTCCAGACTCATGACAACCTTGAGCATTTAGCGATGATGGAGAACGTTTGCGATAGCCGAATCGACACACATCTTGTGCAGGCAGTCAATAAGTCAGCATCACGCAACAGCAGCAATTCTCCAGCCAAGTATGTTCTATGCAATTCGTAGGGAGGTTGACTAGCTTTCTAATATGTGAACTAAACTAGGTACTTCAAACGGTTAAAGCTGGATTACCCTACGGCTGAAACGACCAGGGCGTCTAGACGATTCGTGAGGAACATGAAGCGAATAAGTGTAAGTCTGAGTCTGAGTGTAGACCTGTAAATCCCATCTAACCCGATGGCAGGATATCATTCCGGCTACGAGTCCTTTTCTTCGGCTTTTCTTGGATCTTTTACAGAAGATGTTTGTCTATGATCCGGCAAAGCGGATCACTGCTCGCCAGGCTCTGGCGCACCCATGGTTTCGAGAGGCCGCTATTCCCGATGATGGCACCGAGGCTTTAAAAATTCGGTTAGAACGCATGAGGGATGGCGACTACCCCCGAAATCCAAACCCAGTATAGGAGAACTACGATACTCTTGACCGATAACATTTGATATTAAGATGGAAAAAAAATGTACACTTCTCCAGGACTTAAGTCTTATGATGATATGTTAGCGGGTTACCATACCTTCCTTATCTCTATCAGCGTGCATGCAGGGTGGTACCCAAACGGCGTTTTTGGCCAGCATGAGGCGGTGTATCCCAAGGTAATGCGTTCATTTTACATAGAGAAGTTTGCCAAAGGACGTCCATGAAGGGCCATGACGTATTACGTCGTCTCAATATATACTTTGCACCGGGCACTTCGCCGTTACCGTCATAGTGGATGAGCGCTTAGTCTAGTGCTTCATTGTTTGATAACTGAGGAGTCTGTCCAGCCCAGTAACCGGTTACTTGACAATCGAAAGGTACATACTGGTTTCTTCTAGTAAGCACGTATCTTTTGCAAACTATGCTAATGCTACTTCTGTTTAGCAGGTTCCATACCGGCTCTTGGCCGTCTACTATTTCATCTCGCCTCGGTTTCGAAGGTCGAAGACAACATGCGTGTTTATAAACAAGTCAGGTATAATCGAAACAAAGGCACAAATCATCCAGGCCATTGTGAAGAGTTGAAAGGAAGCTATAAAGCACAATGTCTTTGAAACAACGGCCCTTGTTTGATTGTCCTAGAGCGAGCCCTGCAAGTTATAAGACGAGCCGATTCCATGTGTTGCAAATTCTTTGCCTCGTTGAATCAAAAATACCTACAGTCATATTACCAGCCCACATTGTTCCACCACCGCTTGTGAATCGCCCCATTAAATCAGACTTACTCCCTACAAAATTTCTATTTCCGTGTGTATACTACTCCTTCATGAGCATTGGAATTCAGGATTTATCGGGCGAACTTGTCGTCCGCATCACCAAGGTGCTTGCACGTCGTCCCGAATATGGCATTGCTGTTCCTTCGCGAAGATGGCTCCAGAGGCAAGAAGAGAAAATGAAGAATCTCCCTAAAGAATTATTAAGGCCTTCAAGCCTTAAGCGCCTAGCTCTCAAGATTGCCGATCGCATCGATCCGAATATTGTGGACCCGCAGGCGGTGCTCTGCAAAACGCATTCTACCCTTAACCCGTTCTTAATCCGAAGACTTTTTATTGCTCTCGCATATGAAGTCACGGTTCATACAGATTCCTTACGCTCATGGCAGGGAAGGATATCTGATCCCGAGCTTTCTGCTTTCGTTGGTCGACTTGACTCAATCGCGGCATTATGGACCGCGCCACCACTTTTCCACGAGATATACGGGCTCGCCCCCTTCGACGGCCGCCATGTATTTGTCAAATCCGCGTGCGAGGCTTGTTGTCTCGCGGCAGTAGGTGCTAGTGGTCGAGCTCTGGCGGATCTCCGAGCAGCTCTTATAGATCGCATGGAACGACGCGGGGGGAAAGGAAAAGAACCTCGTCTATACCGTGTCGTGGAAGCTTGGATCGACCATCTTCGAAAGCACGATGATAATGTGAACCGACCCGAATATTGCAGAGCTTCGAGTGAGTCTCTGCTTGTCGACTTGAGGATGGCCAGACCCCAGATCAAAGCGTGGCGAGCCCAACAAAAGAAGCACCACGCCGAGTTACGAGCCGCGCGGCGTCCTATATACGCCGAGCTGAAAAGAAGCCGTTCAGGCGCCAAAATTTCCTCATTGCCACATGATGCCAGTCGTAAGAGACGGACAAGAAACGGAATTCCGGTCGCCTTGGTCGACATTAATGGGGCTCAGAGTCAGAGAAGGGCCGCCATGTCTTCCATTAGAAGAGATAGCATCTATCGTCCAGATAGTATCGCTGGATTTTCCGGCATCCATGAGCGACAGAAGGCTGCTTACAGCCTTCCAACCGAGGCTCGTCCTCGCCCTTCTGCTCTCGAGCCGGTCCGGTTGAGTGGACCTAGTGTCGGTTCTCCGACCCAGTCTTTTCTCTATCGGTTCGAACAGGAGATGCCCACTGTAGATGAACGAGAACCCTACGACGATATTGAAGAGCGGGAGCTAGACGAAGACGAATCCGTGGAGGAAAGTCGAGTTGGAGTGCGGGATTGGTGGACTAGCAAAGTATGTAGATCCCAACTAGATCTCAACCAGGACGATACAAAGTCGGTGCTGTCAATGGTGCACCCTGCTTTCCGCCCTAGCGCTAGCCATGCTGCTGCACCTGCAACGCCCACTCCGCCCCATAGCAACGATCCCGAAACACGCGCCAACAACCCCGGAGGACGTCGCCAAACGACAGCGAGTGTGTGGACGGATTGTACCGCATATACGCTTGGTCCGGGCTCTGCCGAGCCGAATCATACAAACGCACCGCCAGTGCCGAGGGTACCCTCAGAGTACAGAAATAATAGACACTCCTTGCGGAACAGTGATGGAACTCCTCAGGTTGCCTCGCACACACCGGCGGGTGGAACTTACGTAAGACCGACAGTTGAGGATGAGCGACAGTCGACGGTTCCTTTCCCCGAGTACCGGGATCCTTTGGTCAATCAGCAAACTTCTAGGAGGTCAATCTCGTCGTCGTCATCGAAGACAAAAGGTAGGAAGACGCCTCTGAACTGGCCCGCTCCACCGCAAGGAAGATATCCCCCATCAACCCGAGATAATCCACGTCTTCGAAAAGAATCCGACGTGGGTTCCACGCTGTCGGAGCAAAGGTACGCGTTCCTTGCAGAACGCTTCAAGCCGAAGGAGGAAAGGAGGCACTCGCTCATCCCTGAAACGCCAACGCAGACGCCAGCATCGCCGGACATCTCACACTCGCGACCCGTCTCGTATGCATCTAGCTCTGTATATTCCGTCGCGAGCATGGTGCCATCTCTGGATTCCTCGCACGGAAACACATTTGAGTCCGAGTCTGATGGAGATACAACACCGACGCAAAGAGGAAGGTTGGGGAGTTTCCCGTCGTCGGAAAGCGATGTTATCCTGCCCGACGATTCCATCAGTAACGTAAATTGGAAACGACAACGTCGCCAGAGTCCGGGCGTCTCCTCTGTCACGCAGCTGGGTGACGATTGGAGGAAAATGTGATGAGGGTGAATAGAGTGAGTCTATATCTATAGTATGTATGGTGCGATGTTAATTCTCGTCCCGTGCTTTTGTAGATTTTGCCATACTGGTGAGTTAATTGTTCTTGTAACATTTTGTTTGTCGCTTATAGTAGTAATGTTTTTTGTTTTTTTACCCCTTTGCAATATTATACTATTTTTTCCGTTAAGTACGTATGTATCATACCGAAAATGTTTCTTGTTTTTTTTTGTTAGTTTTGTATATGCATATCACCATGTATACCGTAAATAAGCGACGTATATTGTACGGATTTAAGTCGGTGGATTCGGTCAAGGAACGTTTGGCAATATTTCCCATGTCGACTTTTAGCAGATTTGAGACTATCTATCACGACGCCATTTCGAGGCAGTAGGATAGCCACCTACCTACATGCATGCATGCATGTGGTTTCGCGCTCTGCGGAATATGTCACGATCGGGGTGTATGATATGATTTTCTCGTACTGGTGGCTTGCAGAGCAGGAATTCAGCCCCCCCACGCCACAGTGGGTGAAAGAGTGCCTAGGTGTACTTAGTACGTGCTTTGGCAGTCATTGAACATGAATAAGGGGCGAATGGTCTAGGGGTATGATATTCGCTTTGCATCAACGACTCGAATAGCGTCTAGCCTGTTCGTCGGATGTAATGCTTGCGAAGGGTCCGGGGTTCAAATCCCCGTTCGTCCATAACTTTTGCTTATTTTTTTCATCTTCATGTCGTATAAATTTTTTGCTTTTTCCCCCCCTCCTTTCCCACCGTTTATTATTGTTTTTGTCCTTAGCATTACTTTTATTACCTCACCCTCCTTTTCTGCGTGAATTATAACCATTACTATCCCACAGCCTTTGCTTGCTTTTTCGGCTATGTATAGATAGCATTTAAGTACTAGCGCCGCGGATTAAGGAAGGATAATCCCGGTGGGTGATATGTGACGTAGGTATAACAAGCCCTTTATCCTCCCGCTTGCCGGGTTTCATGTTCGGCTGACTTTGTTTTTCTGCTCGGCCCGTATAGGTCGGACAATAAGCCTTTGTAGACAGAAGAAGCGTTACGGTAGCGTTATCGATAATGTACCAAGAAGATTGGTGTCTCGAAGGCCATGCATGGGTGCTTTTCTTATTAGGGCCTATGGGTTCTAGTCTCTCCCTCCACCTTCCACCGTACAGTACAGTACGTAAAAACAGCGTTATTAAGCTATATATAAATAAATCCTTAGCATCACCGTCGAGGAAATACTATAAACTGGAATTTTCTAGGTATTGAGACAACTAGGGCGGATGGACTAAATAAAGATTGTATTATTCGACCAGCGAGAGCCTGTTTCCCCAATGTTGAATAAAATGAAGGTGTCAAGGTCTAGAAGTGAAGAGCGTGGCACTTGCAAACGCAGTGCCCAACAGTATACAGAGAAGATTCATCAGCCGTAACTACATCATAATAACAGCAGCTCGTTTCCTAACACATAAAATACCCCGCTACCTTGTTACACTATTCAATTCAAAGTCTCATTTTTGCAATAGAATGATGATATTTGTATTGTCAAATATCGGGAGCCTGACGGCAGCTACCCCATTTTCCTCAACCCAACCCCCCGCCCTGCCCCCGGAAGACATGGGTCTTCGTACCGACGATCACCACTTCTCATGTGGGGTACATGAGGAGTTACGTTAATAAGCTCGAATATTAGAACCATGGTGCCATATTGTTTAGAACCGGTCCAATCGTGAGGTCTAGCCATGTGGGTTTAATGGATAAATATACCTCCGCAATGAGCTATGCTTCGTGGAATAATTACAGGTGCATAGAATATCGTGAGGGCCCAAGGACGATAATGCTCGCTGGGTCTCTATTGCTCTTGGAGCGAGAATCATGCGGGGGTGATGAAATGTCCTTTGATATAAACTCACCGAGTTTTCTCGGTGAGGAAAGAAAAGTACCATGCTCGCCAGGCGCTTCATTGTAACCTTCAAGAGTCTCGCATTCGTCGAGCGCATTGGGTCACGATGCTTGCCCATTTCAGACTAGAGAGCGCTATTCGACTTCTTGGGCTAGGCTTTTTGATCTTGAACCACTCACCGATTGTCGCTGCACGCGTACTCGGGGGCCGTAATTCGGAGACACAAACGAGTGGTCGCCAAGTAATCAAATTCGACAGAAATTGGCGATTCTGGCACTCATTTGAAAATCCGGATGGTATCAGCTATGATCAGCTAAAGGCTTACATACTACCCAGTGCGAATGATTTTATCGCGGACCCTAGCGGTCACCACGACCGACCTTCTTCAGAGCCAAACATCACAGTCCAGTATACGGATAAAGAGTTCGATGACAGCAACTGGGAGATCGTTAAGGTGCCCCATGACTGGGCTATCAAAGGCCCATTCTATGTCGGATCTAACGTGCCAGTTGGTGGCGGGATGGGACGACTCCCGGTTCAGGGGGTTGGCTGGTATAGACGTAAGATCACTATCGAGCCGGCTGACATCGATAAGGAGATCTACCTAGATATCGACGGAGCCATGTCTTACGCTATAGTCTGGCTTAATGGAAAGTTATTAGGGGGTTGGCCTTATGGATACAATTCGTTTCGTCTTGACCTGACTCCTCATCTTATTCGTGGAAAAGACAATCAGCTTGCTATTCGGCTTGACAATCCCACGAAGTCCTCTCGTTGGTACCCTGGAGGTGGCCTGTATCGGAATGTTTGGCTTACCAAGGTCGACAAAACGCACGTCGGCCAGTCGGGAACATATATAACCACGGAAGATGTGTCTTCTTCGTCGGCAACTCTCAATCTAGCAGTCTCGGTAGAGAACAAGGCAAATATCAAAAGAGATATCTATATTTCTACAGATGTGTTCCAGCTCAATCCCGAAACAGGAAAAACGGGAGCCAAGGTTGCATCCTTCCCTCGAGCATCTCTCAGTCTTTCGCCGGGCCAGAGGGTGGATTCCAACAGCTCAACTATAGTTCGAAACCCCCAGTTATGGGGAGTTTGGACATCTCAAAAACCTAATATGTATGTTGCCATCACGACGCTTCATACTGGTGCAAGTGATCAGGCTATTGATACCTACGAAACACGCTTTGGTATTCGCACGTTCGACCTGGGCCCTAAAGGCTTGCTGGTGAATGGGGAACGCGTTCGGATCCAAGGCGTCAATCAGCACCATGACCTCGGAGCTCTCGGGGCTGCCTTCAATGTTCGTGCCGCAGAAAGGCAACTCGAGATCCTGCGTGACCTCGGCGTTAACGCCGTCCGCACATCTCACAACCCACCTGCGCCCGAATTGCTGGACCTACTCGACCGAAAGGGGTTCCTCGTTATGGATGAGATCTTTGATTCATGGGAGATTCAAAAGAACCCCAATGATTTCCACCTGATTTTCCCCGAGTGGCATGAGGCCGATTTGCGGTCGTTCATACGGAGAGACCGCAATCATCCGTCTATTTATTCGTGGAGCGTTGGGAATGAAGTCAGCGAGCAGTACACAGAGGCTGATGGTACCGCCGTAGCACGGGGCCTTGTCGAGATCGCACACGAAACAGACCCGACCAGGCCGGTCACCGCTTCGTTGAATTACGCGAAACCTAACATGACGTTCCCTACGGCTTTCGACGTCATCAGTTTGAATTATCAGGGAGAAGGAATTCGCGACACGCCTCCCTACTCTCATTTATCCGGCTTATCCGGCATTAAGACGCCTCCTCTTTACGGTGCTTTCCACTCAGCATTCCCTGACAAGTTAATTGAGGGTAGCGAAACGGCTTCCGCTCTCAGTTCGCGCGGAACTTATATATTCCCAGTGACGAGTGAAATTAGTGCGCCTATCAACGACACCTCTGGAGGCAACTCAACTTCGCTTCAAGTCAGTGCGTACGAGCTATACTCTGCCGACTACGGTGCTTCGGCAGACAAGACTTTCGTTGGCCAGGACCCTTACTCTTTCGTAGCCGGCGAGTTTGTGTGGACGGGATTCGACTACCTGGGCGAGCCAACTCCCTACGATTCCGCTCGGAGCTCATATTCTGGGATTGTCGACCTTGCTGGCTTCCCGAAAGATCGATACTATCTGTACCAATCCCGATGGCGACCTGATCTCCGAACTGCGCATATCCTTCCCCACTGGACCTGGCCGGACCGGGCAGGTGAGGTGACGCCGGTGCATGTCTTCACGTCCGCGGACGAGGCGGAGTTGTTCCTAAATGGGAAATCCCAGGGCCGTCTAGTGAGGGAACAGTATTCATATCGATTCCGCTGGGATAAGATTGTTTATGCCCCCGGAGAGCTGCACGTCGTCACCTACAAGAACGGTGAAGTCTGGGCGGAGACAACAGTTGAAACAGTCGGAAAGGCGACAGGCTTGCGCCTGGCTGCAGACCAGTCTTTGATTCGCGCCGATGGTGAAGACCTGGCCTACGTCACAATGGAGGTTGTTGACAGCAAAGGGCGCGTCGTGCCTCAGGCTAGCGATAACATCACGTTTGATGTAGCTGGTGCAGGTGAACTTGTCGCTACTGATAATGGCAATCCGGCGGATTTCACCGTGTTCCCTTCTAAACAGAGAAAAGCTTATAATGGTCTGGCACTTGCGATTGTACGGGCCAAGGCTGGCGAGCGAGGACCGATTATTGTCAGAGCTTCAGGGGCTAACCTTGAAACTGCTAGGATAGTCATCAAAGCTTCCTGAGGGCCGGATCTCGCTGCAGTTGAGGGTAATCACAAGCTATGTTATAGAATAATAAAGAAAAACAACTATGATATAACTAGAACTTAATAATTGTAAAGTGAGTGTTGTTTGCCGTGTCTTGAGTAGCCCGGATTACAGTGTACAGGACTACTTGTGAGGTGGATCTATCTCCGTTGTCCGTGGACGATATTGTCGGATAGATTCACGGATGGCGGGGATGGGATTACACTTTTACACGTCCCCAACATAAGCAGTAAGGAAGCACGTACGTAGGGTTAGTATTCATTAGACAGTATCGGTTATGTTATCTAATGTATTAGGAGACAAGTCTCTCTTTTCTGTTGGTGCTTTAATCCCGATGCTTATGATATTTCTATGGGTTATAATCATCTCTCCGTGTCTCCTCCGAGAACACCTACCACTTAATGAGTAACAACCTACTGTAAGCTATGTCCGTGGGTGAGCCATTCCGCGGACCTTCTATCATGATGGAATTGTTGGGACATTCTTGCACCAACATCCATGACCAGAGGGGAATCGCCGAAACATATATCGTTAAAGAAAGCACTCGGGAATATACCAGATCAAAATTAAATTTGTTCATCTACCTATCCGTTAATTAATCCACACCGGTTTCGAAACCACATTAATCCACAGACACATACATACGTCACGTCAATATGCCACCCTCTTTGGGTTCTCTGACCGACTTTGAGCTCGCGAATGACATTACTCCACGAGACGTAGGAAATGAGGGCAGCACCGATGTTGAAGCTGATCGCGGCAGCTCGAGCCAGCTCTCCGGCCAAAATGCTCTACGGGTAGATTGGTCTGGGCCTGATGACCCTGAGAATCCACAGAACTGGCCGGGACAGAAGGGCTTTGGGCATGTCATCATCGTTGCCATACTGTCCATGGTTGTGAACATTGCCGCAACCATTATGACTCCCGGTGTGTCCGGTCTCATCGAAGAGTTCAAAATCCAAGACGAAACA